GTCTTCTTATTCAAATTAGCTTTACTTCCATAGAACCGTAGAATTGTTAGTTACATGAAAATCATTATGATTGGAGTTATGTTAAATTTACAGAATTACTCAAAAACACTCAGTGTATTTATGATACTGAACATTTCTTTTTCAGCCTTCAAAATGATTTTGCAGATTTCTTCATGAAGGTTTTACATATATATAAATCTGTCATCTGATGTATTTCTACCTGTAAGTGTCCTGTGGTTTTATGGTCAGCGAAAATGTCTTTTTTCGTGTCAAATTTTATATCTGTTAGTTGGATCCTCCTGATCTATAGAAATGGTTTTTGATTTCTGTATGTGGATCTTTGTCCAGAATTCTGTTTGACTCTTTTTCAAATCAGTTCTACTAGTTTGTGGAGGCTCACAATATGTGTGTGTGTGCGCGCGTGCACACGTGTGCATGTGTATTGGCTGGGTTTTCAAGTTCAGTGTTAAGCAATGGTGATCATATATGATATCCAATGGACCTTCCCTTCCCACCGTGCTGAGCATTTATTAAGCATGCATATTACATTAGATTGAATGCTTAGGGTTATACTGCCTGAGGACGGCCCACACTCACTCCAGTCCCTCACTTGTGTTTTGTAGGGCTGTTATAGTCTCTCCCAGCACCCAGTTCCTGTCCATCAGAGTCCTAATCACATCTCAGTAGGTGTGGAGTGTGCTATCCTGGGGTGAGGGATATCAGGAGAGGAGAGACTGATTCATGTTCCTGTCTGTCTGTGCTCTGAGCTCTGTGAGTACAGGGACACTCCTTGTCTTGTGTACTTCTGGCACTTTCAGGTGCCCAGTGGAACTTGGAGTGAGTGACCGAGTGTCAGTGTTGTACTCGACTGTGTTTTCCTGTACTCACTTTATGGGTTTGTTTTTACTCAGATGGCCTGTGCAATCTGACACCCTCTCAGTGGGGGTCTTTTGTGGTCACAAATAGATTATCTCAATAGCTCCTATTTGCAGTTTCTTATCCTTCACATTAGCACCAAGAATTGGATTCCAGAAACATCTGTCCAAAGTAAACGTATAGGTTCCCTACTGCTGAGGGCCGTATGGGGGGTGGGTCAGCAGGACTGCTCCCTCAGGCACCTGCTGGGTTGTCTGGATGTGGACTGCCACTGACTCCCAGATGCCTTCAGTAAGGATGGTGGTTACAGGGATGCCGCCAGTCACTGAGCAAGCTTCCTACGGCTTTCAGTTGGTGTCATAGAGTCATTTTCTCATGTCCGTGCAACCTCTTCATAAACATCTTTTACAATAGCTGCCCAATATTCAGTTGCCCTTCCAATGATTAAAATATTTCCATAATAAACCAATTTTAAGAATATTAACAAAAATAAAATTATTAAGGCTCACATTGTATTTTTTAATAAAAAGGCAAAGGTTTCTCTGCTTTCCTCCTCTATTTAAATAACATTGATTAATTTTAGGAAAGGGGAAGAATAATGAATGCTCCATTTTATTTGTTCTGGCATTTTCTTTCCCATCTCTGCTTCTGGGGACTATGCAGAAATAAAGTTAGGGTTGTTTTTTTTTTTCTACTGTTCTTCCCCTGTCCCCATGGGTAAGTCTTTTCCATGTATATTCTTACATTATTACTGAATATATATTTTATTTCTGTCTCTCTTCACAGAATATGAAATTAAAAAATTTTATCCCTCTCAAGGGTATTGACTTTCTGAGAGTAAATATTAAATTATGAAGTAGAGGCAACATTTAAAAAATACATTCAAGGCTTATAAATATATTAAGGACTTGAAGTCAATTCTGCATGCTTCAAAATGCCTTAACATTTTACATGTAAGACATTTTCTCTTGTCCTTTTAAACAGTATGTGAGAGTTGGAATTCCAAGTTATTGCCTTCTGTAGTCCCTCCCAAGCACTTGAAGGCGTGCAGGAGGGCAGGCTGGGCTTCAGTGAGAGGTTGCAGCCCTGCCGAGGAGAAACTTGGAGGGAAATGACAGGCGAGGCCTCATAAGTTGTGACCTTGTTTACTCAGGCTTCTCCAGATCTTGAACTTGGTGGATTCTGTGTTCTATGGAGCACGCTGTTAGCTTATTGAGGGAGCCTTCTTGCCCACTGCATCCCTTAACAAAGGGTGTGAAGGAAGCGACCTCAGATAGGTAGTTCACTACAGCCACCTTCACCCTTCCCCTACCGTCAGTCAGGTAGGGGATACAGTATACAGTCAGGTATATTATGGTGATGTCACCCCTTGGACTTTGGATGCTTGTGGAGGATGTCACCAAGACCCTGTCTTCCCTGTATAGGCTCGGTGGACTGGGCCCCACCTCACAATTGTGCTTATTCTTGCTTACCTATCTTTTTTGGGCCTTCATTTCCTCATCTATAAAATGAGGGTATCTGCTCCCTAGGTTTATTATCAGGGCTACATGGAGGAAGGAGTGATTTAGAAGTGGGCTCTACATTAATATTAGTGCCTCATTTCAACTGCTATTGGTAACTTGTTTCCCATAGATAGATATGATGGCAGACATATTAAAATCTTAACACTTTTTTTGGTTGTTGTTCTTTGTAATTTTTATTTCCAAAATGCATGGGCACCTCACGTAACAAGAAGCATTTCAAACAACTCGGATCACATGTTTCTGTGCGCTGTAGACCTGACATCCCTGCTGCAGAAAGGCTGAGTTGTAGCTTTGGTCTCCTCTCTGGAAAGAGGATACAATGGGAGGGAAGTCTTTGCCAGACAGAAAGAGCCCTTCCTACCTAAAGGAGAGGGGGAAGGAGGGAGAGGCACAGAAAGCTAGGGCAGAAGCTGTCCATGTTTTCTCTTTTTGTGGTTGAGATCTCAAAATCTTGGTGGTGGTTTGAGATGGCTTATGTATGTGTATGAGTGTATTATAGTAGCAGTGGGGAGCAGCTTAGGGACTCACTTCAGCAGCAGCAGTAATGTGAGGCAGGCTGCAGTGCAAGCGTGTTGAGGAGGCTGGTCCTCAGCCCCACCCCGAGGGAATGTATAGCTTTGAATGAGGTACCTTCAAGACCAGGGGCTCCAGCATGGGGCTCTTGCTTCTTCACATGTAGTATGCAGTGTACATGGGAGCCAGAAGTTTTGTAGAATCTGTGTGGGGGAGCAAAGAGCCTTCCAAGAGTGGAGGGATATGCTGTATAGTTGTTGGGTGGAAAAGAAGCAAGGGGCAAAAACCCTATGGGATAAAAATCTAAATGCTTGGAATAATCATGCCCCCTTTTGGGGTGCTTGAGAGCTGAGTCCCACTGGAAGCACTCCCTCCTACACCCCGAATAAAAGGTCTCATTTTAGGGAAAGTGCACTTTCCTTGTGGACTTTGGCCTACATCTCCTGACTAGACCATCACTTGGGGGAGTGGGTACATTTCACTGATCAAAAATAAAAATTGCTATAGGCTGTGTTGTAGAGTTCTCTGAACTTCTTGGGGCCTTAGCCTGTTCATCTGTAAGACAGGGAGCAACAGGGACTGCCTGGAAGGGTGATGTTGGAACTCAGATGTGATTAACACAGGGTAATCTGGAATACTCCCAGCAGGAGCATCTATCTGCTCTTCACCTTCTCCTCCTTCGAAGGCATGCTTCAGTTCTCTCTCTCCTTTGGGTTTAGATTACATGGAAATGTCTGGAGAGTTTAGAAAAGATTGTATTTTGCAGTTTCAAATTTGTTTATATTTCTCTTTATGCTGCCATGCAGTTTGTAATTAGGTGGTATCTTTTGTGAAAACATATATAATGTTTATGATAATTTATGGTTAGCCACTAAAGTACGTAAAGATGTGATTAGTGCTTGGGTTAAAAGCTATCAGAGGTATGTGTAAAATTAGTCTAAAAATTCTGCAGAATATGAATGGTCATTTAAATGGATTCCTAGTCAAAGAGAGGAGAATTTATTATTAATCAGGTTATACACATGGAATACTATGCTGGGTTTTTAATTTTATTTGATATTTTCAAGGCCCTCTGAGTTAAAGATAGTCATTATTATATCTTTTGGATGAGGAATCTCAGAATTTCAGTTGTATTTCATTACTTGTAATGGGAATAACTGATTAAACCAAGGTAACAATTTGTCTCTTGAGTGAAGGTGTTCAGAGTTCAGGTGCCCAGGTCTGGACTAGCAACTCCACTGTCATCAAGGATTCACCCGCTGGTGTTTGTGTTCAGCCACCTGCCTCACCTGCGTGGTGGACTGTGCCCTGAGGAGGCTGCTGCACCTGGCAGTACAGCGCTAGGCTGTGGCTTGTATGCATTAGTCATCTCCATTCAGAAGCCCCAAAGTAGTTCCAGAATTGGACATCATTATAAACTTGCAGGTCATTTAAAATATGGACTATATAGTTGGACACAAAGCAAATCTTAATGAATATTAACGAGTTGTTATCACGCAGACTGCTTTCTGTGACTACATGCAGTGAAATCACGAGTCATGAACTCTTGCCCCTCTCCTCCATGAGGAGGGTTGAGTAGGAGTGCAAAGCCAGGTCAGAGTGCTGGCGTCACTCAGAGGTGAATTCAAGTTCCGTCTACATCATCCTGGCCTTGAACTTAACCATGGTCCATAGACTCTCTCAGATGTCATTTGCTGATCATAATGTCACATTACAAAAGTGAGAAATGTGAAGCGGCCACCCTACAATAAGCCCTTGAATACCCTCTTCTCTGCTGTATCTGCTGATGCTGATGTGTTGGGAAAGGTTAACTCTTGTGTGCATACATCAGTGTTTTTAAAATATTTTTCTGATCCTAAGTGGGTCTCTGAAACTTAAGGGAGAAACAGTCTATGTTTCTTTCTTAGCAAATATTAAAAAAACATACGCAAAAACAAATGAACTCTTCAGTTAGTTCTTTCCCACAGCTGTTCAGGGAAGTGATCTTTCAGACTTGCCTGGTGTGGGTGTTAATTGGAACCAAGAGCTGGAGTAGGCGCTTTCCCCTGCTAACGGACTGCTGTTGTCTCCCCTGTCTCCCTGCCTCAGTGAGATGAGTCAGAAGACAACAAAGGAGGGTCCCCGACTCTCCAAGAACCAGAGGTTCTCAGAGCACTTCAGCATCCACTGCTGCCCGCCCTTCACCTTCCTCAACTCCAAGCGGGAGATCGTGGACCGGAAGTACAGCATCTGCAAGAGTGGCTGCTTCTACCAGAAGAAGGAGGAGGACTGGATCTGCTGCGCTTGCCAGAAGACCAGGTGAGCTGCCCTAGGCTGGACCTTTGTCGGCACCAGGCCCACCCTTCCTCCTCCTCCTCCTGTGTTCTGTGATGCTGCGGCTCTCGGGTCCTGCCAGCTGCTCTGCCCCTGTACCCCTGGCCGTCGGCTCCCTGTGAGGTTCTGTTAGTGGAAGGCACCTGAGGGAAAGCAAAAGTTGGGGAGGGAGGAGCAGGGCCTGCCTTCTGGTTTCCAGCTCCTTTCAGCATACCCTGAGCCGCCTTGGAGAACCCTGGCTGCAGTCTCCAGCTTCTTTTGGCCCTCTCAGCACCAGCCGCCGTGCAGCGTCCCCTCAGAGGCCCAAGCTCCAGCCAGCTGCGTCCCCCGTGGTGGTCAGAGCACCAGCCAAGCCACGGTCCCCTCCGAGGTCCGAGCGACAGCCACGTCCCCGCCCAGAGGTCCGACCACCGCCAGCCAAGCCTCGCCCCCCTCAGAAGGCCAAGGCCAAGCAGCAGCCGCGCAGCAGCCCCATCAGAGGGCCAGGCGCCAGCCGTGGGGGGTCTCCTGTCAAAGCTTCTAGGTTATGGTAACACCATCGCTTACCTTTTGTTACCCCAGGCCTTAAGGTTAGTAGCTGCTTCCCATGTTTACTAATGGCAATGGACTTCCTCCAGCCTTACCAAGCCTATGTAATCTTCTCCCTACATTAAATCCCCTCTGTTTGAAATACCTAGTGTGGCCTCTGTTTTCCTTCTAGATGTGGTGGTCGTCGTGTCCATTGAGGTCTGTGATTGGACTGGAAGTCATCCACTTCCCAGTTCAGATTATTTCCCTCAGTTTCAGAAGCAGAGAGAATGGTTGTTGTACTGTAATGTCTGAATATGTGTTAGAAAAAAGAGCTTCAGTCATCTCATCCTACCATCCTCCTAATATATGTCATCTGATAATAAATTTGCTCTCAATATCACACACTCTCATTCAGTCATTCCACAAACCTGATTGCACGCAAGAAAGGTATATAGGCTGTACTGGGGAGTGTATACTTCTGTGACAGTTATCTAGACATGTCACTTGTGATTCACACAACAAAATCAGATAACAGCCATCATGTAAAGGGTAAATGCTCTATATTGTCACAATCAATAGGTGCACTGGACTGTGGAGCCCTAAAAAGGGAGATTTGACTCTATTTTGAGAGTTTGGGGCTCCACGTAGGAGATCAGGAGAGGATGAAGAGTAGGCAAAAGGAGGGTGATACAGGTAGAGTGAAGACGGGGGCCGAGACATGTCTATCTATCTCCTAGGTAGGGCAGCTATTAAAAAAATCAGATTTTATTATACTTTTTAAAAATTTATATAAGAGCAGTTTTGAAAAAGAGAAGTTTTGGGTTTACAGAAAAATTGAGTGATTTCCTCTGATCTCTTGTCTCCACACATATTTGCCAACTCTTATTCCCTTTAATATGTGAAAATGAATGTATTTCATAAGTTCATTGTAAGTGTGTTTATTCAGCAGGATCTTTAGGGAGTTTGGACACACCCAGGCTGCCCCATGTCTTGAGGCTGTGGAAGCAATCTGAAAAATGTAAATAGGTTCCTTCTCCAAACATCAAGGGATGTGTTCCATCCCCCTCGCTACAACTTGCTCTACGAGTTTCAATAAAACATCACTTCATTTATCTTTCCTAGTTGCCTCAATTCAGGTAGAAGGAATTGATGTATCGTTTAAGATTCTGGAAAATGCTGTTGTTAATATCTAAATACAATTTTATTGCTAATATAAAAAATTCTTAAATTATAAGAAAAACTGTGGCTCCACTCCCTTAAGTTTGATTCTAAGAATAAAACGATGCCACCTTCCTAATGCATACGTTTTAGTTTCTTGTACCTTGTTTTATAAATTAAAAAAGTGATGTTGCTGTGGAACTGTTCAACACAGCCTCACCTTTAAGGTAGTCAGAGTTGTGCTAACTAAAGGGGATGTCACAGAACATGCTAGTTGAATACACTTGGAAGGAATGCTTATCTAGGGCTACATGTTTGTATAGTGTCTTTATTGCATATTGTTGATTTCTTTCTTGAACGTAGTCTGTTCCCCTCCAAGTGAGGAGCATATCGGTGTGGTCATAATTTTATGAAGTGAGTGCATGAGCTCTGTCTGTGCATGTGTGTATCTTCACATCTTTGTGTCTGAGAGTAAAACTTGTTTTTTTCCGGGAGTTGGGTGTATTTTTATTTCCTTAGTGTGTTTTTTATGTTTCTGAATTACCTGTAAGAGTTAACCAGAAAAACAGCAACAATGAAAAATGGGAGAATTAGATTATTTCAGAGGCAGGGAGGTAGAAGCAGAAGAAAAGAGAAAATTAAAAAAAAAAAAAGAGGAAAGAAGGAAGGGAGGGAGGAAAGAAGAGCAGAGAGGGAAACAGAGAGAGAGAAACTGACTCTTACCTTTGGGTTCACTCCCCAGGTACACATAGCAGCCAGGACTGGATCAAGCTGGGAACTCAGCTGGGGTTTTTTACATGGTGACAAAGACCCATCTTCTTGAATTATCACCGTAGCCTTCTAGGGTGCACATTAGTAGGAATCTAGTATTACTGAATATTGAAATTATTAGTCAAGCTAATAATTGAAGAAAACCAACTAGCAGTTTAACTGGTATGCTAAACCTCTGCCCCAGGAGAAATTTTTAAGAATACGTTTTGTGCTTGCTTTGGCAGCACATATACCAGAATTGGAAAGAATATGTTTCCTAGGCCTAGTCCATGAAAAAAAAAGATCATGTCAGTTTTGGTCAGAGACTGCCAGAATTGAGTCGTTAAAGAGAAGAATTCTAAGGCTGAATTTCCTAAAAGAAAAATAGCCCAAAAATCATCTGCAAATTCACAGTTATACTAACTGAATACTCATAGTTTGTGTATGTTACTTATCAGGGTTGCGAATTTTTTTTCCTTTTTTTTTCTTTGTTAACTAGATTGAAAAGGAGAAGCAAGCCAACCCCAAAGAGGAAGTGACCAAGCAAGTGAATGGATGGCCTCAGCTCCTGGACTCCCTGTTTTGCAACATATCTGCCCTCGGACAAGTTATCTGGCTTTGGCAACTTCCATCTCCCATAGCCCCCTTGGCATGGGGTCCTGGGGACAGCCAGCCTGGAGGTGAGAAGGGGCTTCTCTGGTAGGATTGAGTCGCTGGGTTCCAGTAGCACCCTCTCAGGTTCAGGTCTCAGTGTTAGTGCTTTAGTTCCAGCTGTCTTCATGCTTCCCCTAGCATGTGCACGAATCTCTAGAGTATTGAGGTAACTACCTACCCTTTTTAGGATCTCACCTTGCATGGAATCCTGGAATAGTAGGTACTGTTACAATATATTTAGAAGATAAAAATAATAATGTCTGCCTTTAAATTGATGATACTAGATACCTTAGGAAAGGCACTCCAAGGATTCAGTTTACATGGATGCAGAGAGGTTGTGGGGCAAAATGAGTTAGAAGTTCTGTCCCTGCATCTGTCATTACCAATCTCTGTTATTCCATACTTAATCGATGATCTTTGACTCACCATTTATGTGGCAAAAGGGTTATATTAAAGAGCCCTTAAGACACTTTCCAGTTCTTCAGTTCTGTGGTTTAAATGGTTTTTGTTGTTTTTAGCTTGATATACGTGTAACATAAATGTAAACGCAGGACACAGCGACACTCGGACACACATGGTTTTTGTGCTTTTGATGGGGGTACACACAGAGAACTTGAGCTGCTGTATTTCCTGAGATCCAAAGTTGTTTGTAGATGACTCTGCAAAAGCTCATTTAATGATGAGCAGTGTTCGTATCTATTTATTTTTTTGTCTCCTGTATTTCACAGTGTTTGTGTTATAGACCTGATTTCACTTCTACCACTCCTACACCGCCAGTCTGTTAAAAATGAACTCTGAGTAGAACTTCTCGAATTGCCATTGTGTTTGTTTACCTCATTTTCTCTTAGTCCTGTTAGGCCCCTCTTCCTGTTTTTCATTTTAAGGAAATATTCCTAATATTTCCTGCCGGATGCCAGGGACAGGAACAAGGATATGCATCTCCCAAACTTGGCAAGGGCATGGTTGTACAGGTCCCAGAGCTGACTCTACCTTTATTTTATACCTACTCTTGGGACCAATTATGTGACCAGGGAGCACGAGTTTCTAGACATCTAATCAGTTTCATATATTTAGTGACTCAGTTGGCCAAGGCACAGTATCTGTCCATTTGTGAAGAAGATATGGAGACCAGCTGGGGATGCACACATAAAGCTGTTTATAAAATAACTGTGAGTTAAACAGTTGTGTTTGACAGATTTTTTTTTTTAATTCTTCTTAGCACTTTGAAGATGTCATTCCTTTGCTTTCTGTCTTCTGTTGTTACCGCTGAGAAATCTGCTGTCAGTCTGCTTGTCCTTCTGTTGTAAGTAAATGCTGTCTTTCCTTTTGTTGTTCTGACATCTTTTCTTTGTCTTTGTTTTTCTAAAGTTTCACTGTGATCCTACTAAGTGTGACTTTATTTTTTTATTATTCTGCTCAGGACTCGAGTTTCTTCAATCTGAAGATATGTATCTTTCTTCAGGGATACACAAAAAAGATTGTTTTACAACCATCAGTATGGAAAAAATAAAAAAAAAATCATGTTGGCAGGATGTGGGAAGAATTCTCATAAACTACCAATGAGAATTTGTGAACAATTACAACATCATCAGGGTGCAATATGGGAATAGTAATGCAGGTTATTGTATCTTTTGTGCTCATGCAATTATCTTAGAAAAAAAACTTACATTTGTGGAAAAATGAGATACACCCAAATTTGTTTACTGAATCATTGTTTACCATTGAGGAAGAAAAGACAGATAATTGAAGTTAACTAAAATGTCCACTAACTGTTCACCACAAATGAACGAATCAATTGTGACATATTTATGAATAAAATACTAAAGAAGAGTCAAGACACATGAATCAGATGTACCTATAACAAGTAAGTAAATTTGGAGAAACAAATAAGGAATATAAAAGGCAAACAGTGGAGGTAAATGCACTACGATGCCTTTTAAGAACCAACAGTAGTATATTGCATATTGCTCAATAAATAAAAACCATACTTCACATTTTTTCTATGATCAAAAATGACAACGAAATTCAAAAACATGCCCACAAAATGTATCCTTTTAGAAAAGAGTTTAAGGGATTTCTTGTTTAAAGAAATAACATAAATTAAAAGCTGTCTAGAAATGGTTAATAATGTTGATCAAGCAAATTTGTTTAGAAAGATAAGTAGGCAAAGAAGAGCCTAGCAGGTGCTCAAGGTAACAAGTCTTAACAAGCAATGTGTTTGTTAAGAGTTTATTTTAGATCTATGCTTTTGATTTTTGCCTTCTAATGGCTTCTGACATGGGGGGAAATGGGAACAATTGAAATACATCTCTGCCTCCAACATCTTTCTCTCAGTAATAGATAGTGAAATCCAAAAGAAGACAATAGAATGTTGTAGAATGTGGAGGTATGTAATGTAGGGTGCAGGGAAACACAGAGTATGGGACAGAACATGTCAGCAGTAGTCTTGTGCTGGGAGTCTGTGCACAGGCAGATGCCCAAAGCCCCAACAAGGCCATGGCTTTGTGTCTTTGAGTGAGCTCAGCCAGACCTAGCCAAGCTTAAGAGGCGAGTAAGAATGTGGAGGCAGTGTCAGAAGAAATCCTTTCAAAGTGTGGGGCTTGGGTAGAGGGATTGGCAGAGAGTAGGAAAGAAAGGTAGACTGGTGAAATCTGGCACACTGTGTCCCCCACTATCCCTGAAGAGGAATCCATCCAAGTGGTCTCCCAAGGCAGCTAAAGGAGAAGGCCAGGGTTGCCTGGCTTCCTCACTTGGGCATACCATGGCTCTGTCAGTGAGCCAGTTAAGAAGGCAGGTACTTTAACTCTACAGAACCTTCAGGAAGAAATGTTTCTCTTGTATAAACTCAGGTGCTAACTGAACAATGGAACGAGAACCTCTCTTATGAATAGTTTCCAACGATGAGCTATCTGAGGCCATTGCATGCCTAGGAATAACATAACGGGGTGGGGTGGGGTGGGAATACAGGACAGACCACTGGTAAGTGAAAACAAATGACTAACCTGTCCCTCTTCAGTCCCATTAAAGAAGCTAATATCCCTTGAGGCCGTTTTAAATTTTTGGCAAAGCCAGATCCCTAGACTTCGAGCTTGTAGAACCCTGTTCTTCCATGTTGTTCAGAAGTCATACTTACCACGGAATGCTTGGGGGACAGCAGAGCATAACCTGCAGTAATATGTGCAAAAAGTTGGATATTGGACCAGTGATGTTACTAACTAGAAAATGCCTGAACTCTGTGTGTTTGTTGTGGAAATAAAAACTTCTGGGGATGGATCAAACATATCTGGAAGTTACTTGAAACTGGTCAGTAGCTAAATGGAATGTGACTTAGATATTCTAGCCAATACGTGTTGTACTCCAAGGTTATTTTTGTATTTTCAAGGGTGCTTCTGGGGACCTACCCGTGAGATGTAGAAACTATACTAAGAGCCAGAAGATATTCTCTGTGAACCTAGAGAGTAGAAATGATCAACCCTGCTATCTGCATGACTGCTTATTCTTAATGTTCTCGTATGCCCTGACATTTTTACTGGTTTTGGTGAAATTGAAATGTGGCCTAGAACTGACCTCCAGATGATGAACACAAGGATTTCCTGTAGAAAGTCCTGCTTCATAGCATTTGTTGGTTACCATGATATATATGTTTCCAGTGTGTGATGTCCCTGAATGTAGGATTGGAAAGAGATAATTTACAGTTGATTCTTGTGAATCAGCATATGCCAGCCAGCATGAGGGCATATAAAATGAATTCAATTTGGGTAGTTCAGATGGAGAATTAAGCAAGATTTCTTTTTTGTGAGAAACTTTGAGAAATGTTGTTTGTAAATACAAATGTTACTTGTAAAATGCTATATTTTTATGATTATTTTATCAAGCAGATAGATTACCTGTATATCTCACCAGATGTTCTAAACGCTTAGGTTTCCTTAGTGTTTGCCTAGGTAGAGACTAGGGCTCCTTTCCCCTTAGATGTGGGTGCTAAATTAGTGCTGCCCAGAGGCTCAGTGAGACCTACACACTGTGAAGCCAACTGCAGGAATTCTGGGCTGAGGATCAAGAAAAAACAGGGAGTCTTCTGTCTGTTGGAGAGGTGACACTGAAATTTAGGTTTATGCTTTGGCATGATAATATATAAACTTTTCTGATATTAATGTTACAAAGATAGTTGACTTTTTTCTCTCTACCTCTCAAACAAATAGTTTTTCTAAAAAACTGGAAAAAATGGAAGTACACTTTCTTATCAGTGCAAGGCAAGGGAACTTATTAGGATAGAAGAGAACTGGAAATGTCCATAGAATTTTATGTGCATTTAAAAATAATATGTATTTATTTGAGGGAGGGAGAGAGAAAGAGAGGGAATGAAAGAGAACTCCCAACTTCTGGTTCATTCCCCAGATGCCTTCAAGGGCTGGGCCAGGCAGGTGGGAACCGGGAACTGAACCCAAGTCATCCATGTGGGTGGCAAGAACCCAATTTCCTTGAGCCATCTCCTGCTGACTCCCAGGGACTGCATCAGCAGGAGGCTGAAGTCTGGAGCCCTAGCTGGGACTACCAGCAAGGCACTCTGCTGTGGGCATCTTAATCATTAGGCTAAAACCTACTCTCTCCATGGACATTTTGTTAAGAAAGGCTTGCATCTGTTCTGTGGTGATTTGTGTCATGTATTTTTGCTATCATCTTGCTAACTCCTGGTCAGAGTGTTTTAGCCCTATTTTTAGCTCTATACTGTTGTCTCTTAAAGTATTCAACGATAAAAAGAACCAGTGCTCTTGGAGAGGATAGATGATTTCATGTCTGAGGGTGGGGGGCAGGGCAAGACAATCATTAGAATTTGAATTCTAGATGCTGAAAGAAAACAAAGCTGCTTGAGAACACAAGGGAGTCATGAATACTAATATGAAAGAGATATGACAGACTTGTGCAAAACCACACTGCCTATAGGAAGTGATAGACTTAGAAAGTCCATATATATATTGATTCCTCTAAATTACGTGAGATCTGTTTTTGAGTGTTATGTCACCAATAGTTTGAAAATTCAGGTGATTATTCTTTCTATAAAGACCTCAGAGGGGGTATTGCAAGAGCCTTTCACAACTCCAAAGGTTTCTGCAAAATGTGGTTTATTTGTTGGAAAAGGAAGCCAGAACATTGGAGCAAATCAGTATTTCTGGTGACACTGGGGGTGGCTTATCTGAGAGTTGATTCTCTTCTCCCAGTAGCAAAGGACCAACTTTCCTGCATCATTCCAGAGGTACTCACAGTGTATGTTGTCCCGAAGCTGTGCTGACTTTATCACCCACCAGCACACATTTCACATAATATCATTTTTTTTTTTTTTTTGCTGGCTATTTATCTGGCAGTGATTCACTCTCTGCAGGGGTTCTGTATCCTTATTCTATACTATTTTGTGATTGTGGGAACCTCAGTGGGTAAAGCAGAACCAGCTTTTAAACCCCAGCAGTAGGGCTTGCTGTAACTTACCACAAAGGGAAACTCGACAGAAGTCAGAAAATGTTCAGTGGATGAAAACCTAAAGCGTGGGCAAGACCAGACACAACATGCACAGGCAAAGGGAAAGTATCTGAGATAGTTAAAAGAGGAGGGAAATAAGGGGTAGAATGTGCCACAGAACATGACTTTTAAGCATGAATCCCCTCTTTAGGAGATTTTAAAGTGAAGGAGGAATAGAAAGCAAGAGAAGAAATGGGACGTGAATGATAAAGTGAAAGTCTGGCCTTTGATAAAGGTTTGAGGAAAAGCATGTTCATACCCAAACCTCACAAAGTACAAGGATCAAGTGAAAAAGCAGGTCAGTAGAACACCAGTCAACAGTTAGTGTCTGAAAGAACTAAATGGATAAGACAAGTGAAGTGGCTGGCATTCTGCCCCATTGGTTCTTGCAGCAAAATCTGCTCTTTGCAAGATCCATATATTAAAGACATACTGTAGATTTATTTTTCTTTGAAGGGCAGAGCTAAAGAGAGGAGGAGGAGAGAGAGGGAGACAGAAAGAAGAGGAGGAGGAGAGAAGAGAGAAAATGAGAGAGAGAGATCCAGATCTTCCATCTGCTCCTTTACCTGCTCCCAATGGCTGTAGCTGAGCTGATCCAAAGCCAGCAGTGTCTGTGGGGTCTCCCAAGTGGCTAAGGAGGCCTAAGCCTTGGACCCTCCACCACTGCCTTCCCAGGCCATAAACAGCGAGCTGAATCAGAAGTGGAGCAGCCAGGACTCGAACTGGTGCCCATATGGGATGGCAGCATCTAAGGCAGAGGCTTAGCGTGTTATACCAACCTGCCAGCCCTGAAAAGGCAAGCTTTAATGGCAATCCGTGGATAATGCTAGTTTGTCCATATCACTGTGAACACGTAGAAAAATCTTGAAGGTATTTTGAGAAGTTCAAATTCCTCCCTTCACAGATTGGGCTTTGAAGTCATGTAAATGTAATTTCCGTAGTCATTGAAAAAACAGTCTGTAATCAAAATAACACTCCGCCCGCGTACAGTTCATTTGGATCTGCTGGTTACTCTTCAGCTTCTTTTGATTTACTTCCTTAGACTTAAAGGATTTTATTTTGTAAATGTTGACACCACCCTGCTCTTCACCCTTGAACTGTTTGTAGTCCAACCATGCTTTCCTTCTTGGGCCAAGGCAGTGGCTGCTTTCTGGTGCTGAGGGTCTGGGTCACCTGCTAGGACTTTTGCTCTTCTAACTAAAATTCTCATCCTTAAATGTCTGCATCTCAAGATACAAGCACATGGCAGCTGTCATTTTTTTTCTCATCACGTGGTCATTCTGACTATATTCACTTGTATACCATAAAACATTTTTGCTGTAATTATTCATCAGCATGAGTTTTATGCAGAAGGTATCCCATGATTTCTCATAAGAGCAGGTGAAATTCTAGAGTCAGAGGTGTCCCTGTGCACAGACATTGTCTAAGACAGGAAAGGCTATAAAATGACTCCTTGTAGTCCCAGACCTGTAGAGCAAGCATAGATATTAGAAGAAGGCCATTGTTCCT